GAATTCATGATTGGCGGGGGCGGGAGGCACTAGGGGAAGCAGGGAGTGACTGCTAGTGAACTGGTTTCTCTCTGAGGTGATGCAAATGCTCTAGAATTCATGTGGTGATGCCTCTACAACTATGATCATACTAAAAGCCCCTGAATTATACACTTTAAATGGGTAAACTGCATGGTATGTGAATTATACCTCAATAAAGCTGATAAAAATGTTTTTTAAGCTGATACAAATTTTAATTAAATCGGTTTTAGAGACTCAGCAAAACAAGCACACAGTGCACGAGGCTTCCCCCGACATCCCCAGGCAGAGTACACACACACTCGTCTCCAGTAAACCTGCGGCACTTCACAGGGGCACAGAAAATCACTGTACCAACTTCTTTCAGCAAATTGCAGAGCAAAAGCTGGCAACCATTTAGGAAACAGTCTACTATGGAGAATGTCACATATATAAAAACAGAGAACAGTGAACCTCCACCTCCATGTACCCGCAGCTCATTCGTGGTTTCCCAGCACTGCCCCTTCCAACCAGCTTGGATTTTCAGTAGAGCCATTCTGGGCATCCCAATGCCCTTGATCCTGAGGCCCAAGGAAACTAGAAATCACAAGTCCACAGCACACTGCTAGTAATTTATCATTTATTAAGTGCTCAATGTGCCAATGATTATCCTAAGCACTTGGAATGAATGAGTTCATTTTATCTGCAAAACAACTCTGAAAGGAAACAGTATTACACCCACACTGAGGACTCAAGGCTTAGAGGTGAAATAACTTCTCCAAAACTAAGTGGAAAATGGAATTTCAAACCGAGGTTATTATTGTAAGATAGCAATTCATTTTAATCAGAAAAAATAATATAATTAACTAAATAATCACTTAACCTAGAGGCTGAAAGAATGGTTTCCTCTTTCCTGGACTTACGGCCACTTAGAAGGACAAGAAGGTCACGTGCGTAAAGTATAGATGGTCTCAGTTCTACTGAGTAGACCCCCTTGGGCACCCTCCATTTGACTTCACCTTTGTGGGCTCTAAGAACGGTCTCAAGGCTCCCAGAGGACCCAGGCTGGCCCCAAGAAACCAAAAGAGCCTTAAAAAGCTAGAATGACGACAATACTGGCTCCCCTTGAACTTGTAGAGCTGTGCTCTCCAGAAAGGTCGTCGCTGGCCAGGGTGCCCATCGAGCGCTCGAAGTGTGGCCAGTTCAAAATGAGATGTAGTGCAGTAACATACACAGCGCACCTGAAGATTTAGTGCAATAAAAGAATGTAAAATGTTGATTACATGTTAAAACAGTAGTATTTTAGATATGTTAGGTTACATAAAATATTTTATTAAAATTAACCTCACCTGTTTGTACCTTGTTAGCGTGGCTTCTAGAACATTTAGTTACACGTGTAGCTCACATGTCCACTGGGGAGGGCTGTTCCTGACTCCCTGTGCTGCCCTGGATGCCAGCTCCATGGGCTCCCCCTTGGGAATGCTCCCCCCAGGTTTGCAAAGAAACAGGCAGCACTGCTGGCACCGGAAGGCTGGCCAAGTGCAGCTCAGCTCAGAGGTCAGGGCTCTGGGCCCTCAGAGCTCCTCGGTGACAGCTCAGAAGTCAGGGGACCCTCAGAGCTCCCAGGTGATGGAAGTCGGCCCCACCCTCCACTGAGAACAGCTTTTCACATAAAATGCGATGAGTATAACTCTGTTTGGAACTCGGGTGGGGACACCCCAGAACCTAATCACTCCCTGCAGTGCAGTTCTCTCCGTCACCCGGGACAGAGATGCAGCAGCCGGGGCTTCAGTTCCTGGTGATGGAGCAGCTCCTGCTCCCACGCACATGCTGGGCAGGAATGTTCTCAATGGCCCAACACAAAAGAACTGGTTTCAAAACCAAATCCATTTCATTCATCAGTCTGAGTAATGCCCTCCCCACAGACGCTGGGGTTCCCTCTCCAGGCAGACCTTGCCCTCCCTCCCTCGACCCGCTGCCCACACCCACCAGTGCTTCCTCCCTTTCAAAGCACATTCCAGACGCTCACTTGCTGAGGCCACCTGGGCACCCTGAACACTGGGCTACTGGAATGTTCTCCTGACCCACGGTAGAGCCCAGTTACTAAGAGCAGAGGCACTGCACCTGTCAAAACATCACCTGATGACAAGGTTAGGCAGAGTGAAGGCTAAGGAAAGCCCGAGTCTGGCTGCACCAGCTGCTGGTGTGACGGGAAGTGCCCAGCCAGGCTCCGAGAGGCGGTTGTCCTGGCCCCAGTGAAGTCTGAAGGCTGGAGCTACATCACAAGTGCCGGATTCTCTGCCCAGTGCCCAGCACACAGCAGGTGCTCACTACCTACCCTAGGAATCAAAGCGAAGGAGAGGAGTTGATTGGAGGATGCTTGGGCCCTCTAGACCTGGGGTCAGGGGATCCTGCGAAACGAAAACGCAGCCACCAACAGCCAGGCACTGGCCGGGCCCCACAAACAGTCTGGCGCCCACACGTAGGCTGCTGCGTTCTTCTGTGGAACGTACAAAATTTCATAGTCAGCATCAGAAAAGGCCACTCTGTGACTGTGAGAAATGAAGACAGACTCCGTAATCACATCTCAACAGACAAAAGACGAACACAGTCCAGACACAAAGGACCAGACATCTCCCCTCCCCCTGCCCAGCCAAGCAGCAGCTGCTGCCGCCTTACCCAGCAGGGCATTAGCCTCGCTCCCTTCCTCTCACCTCAGTTCAAGTTAAGATGACCGACCACAGAACTCTCCTGCGCCCTGACAATGCCCAACCCAGAGCAAAGCCCTGCTTCCTTGAGTCCTCCTGGAAAGCACCAGACGTCAGCCCAAATCCCCTAAGTCCTAACTGCCCTGCGACTCCCTGTGGCTCCCATGCATGGACTTCCCGTCTCCAACAGGTCAGTAAACCCCTCTAATCCCCAGGCCTGGGAAGGGGGAAAGGAAAGGAGGACAGGAGAGAGAAGGAAATTCAATGGTGGCAGACAAGGATGACTTCAACCAATGGCACTTTCCCATGGCCAACACTAGGTTGTGCTGTCTACCTCTTCTCCTGCTAAAGAAAGCCTATCCGATAACAGAAATTAATATTATAGGATTACCCAGGAGCCTAGAAACACACACACACTAAACCACTTCACTAACTTCAGTTCCGTAGGGTCAAGCGAGGATATAGCCCAATTCCCTCTCCCAGTTAGTGGAAAGGTGCCCACCTGGCCAGCGGCCACAGGAGCAGAGAAGCCCACATCCCAGTGTTTCCTGCATCCTTGACAGCTAACAAGCTTCACCAGACCCTCTGTTTGGCCTTGGCCTGCAGGCCATTCCAGGCACAGCTCCCTCCCCCCTCCTTGCTAGCTGCTAGAGAACCCCTTGCTCAACCCTGGCCCGATGTGGAAACACCTGGCCTGGTGTACCCCTGGATCTTCCCCACTGTGTGATGAATAAAGGCTATGTCTTTTCCCTCTGGTCCCCCACATGAAGTTTTTGGACTAGCAAAGAACAGCGTGGCACTCCCGGGTTGGAGCTCCTATAGTACAAGTACTTTCACAAATTACTTGCGACTCAAGTTGCACAGTCACAAGCAATTGGAATTAGGAGCAAGTCCAAAGCCAGAAAAGTCTGGTCTGCTTTCTAGTTCATAGCCTGTTTCACTCTGCAAATGAAGAGAGCAAATGCCGTCAAGTTGCTGAGATAACAGGCCAAAGGCCCAGGGAAGCACCTGGCACACAGGAAGCGATGGCAGGTTGGCTCCAGCACGAGAGTCCTGGCCCATCTCTTCCCCACTGTGCGGACAGTGGGTTCCCCCTGCTCTCCCCTTGCGTGGGGCCTCCCGTCCCCACCTGTACCGCCCAGCAGGCTAGGAGTGGACAGTCCCGAGGACAAGAGCACCGGCAGCACCTCCCCTTCTCTGTCCCCCTAGGAGTTTGCACATGATGGGGACTCAGTTTGATAAATGGAGAGTATAAAACCTGTATGAACTCAGCTGAAACCAGAATTCAGCAGGTTTTGTTCACATCCAAGTGCTTTTTCCCCTTAGATCATTCCCAGAAATGAGGCCATTTAACTTAGTTATCACCTTCCCCAACACTGACCTGCACCCCTATTGACCACCAGCCTGCNAGATCATTCCCAGAAATGAGGCCATTTAACTTATCACCTTCCCCAACACTGACCTGCACCCCTATTGACCACCAGCCTGCAAATGATTTCCATCCAACTCATCACCTACAATGTCACGTTTAATAACTATTTTACTGAAGAAACTTCATCAAAATTTACCTCAAGAACTGCTGTGTATGTTTAAAGCATAGCAAGTGTTCTGTTTTGTTCAAGAGAAGGACAACCTCCCATTAACACCTGAAGGAGCTGGAGTTTGGTCTCGGATGCGAGTGCCTATGACACCAGCTCAGAATTGACCTGTGATCGGCACCTGCAGGTGGGTTTAGAAACCCAGTGTACTTAGTTGTTTGTCTTTACTCCTGAATTTAATCTGCATCACAGAGCTTTAAAGGACCTTTTCAACCATTAGTTCTATCAAGTTTCTCAGCCAAGGTCTAGTGGCCATTTTGCACAAACACTGCCTGTCACCCAGGCCGAAGGAGTCCTAAAGGAAAACAAAGCACTGCCAACAACAGGCTCCCCAGTGTGTGAGGCAACTATGTTTAAAGAGCACCTTGAGAACCAAGAGAAAGAGTCCGAGCTGGGAAGGAAGAGAAAGCCTCTCCACACTCATGCCTGGCTAACTCCCTCTGCAGCTTAATTGAGCAGAAATTTGTGTCAACAAGTTGGTAGCTATAATCCAAGCTTCAAACAGAGGCAGCTGACTGTCCCCAGCATCATGCAACGTCAGCACCGGGAGGTCAGGGTTCTCAGGTGGGTTCCGCCCCGTGAGACTCACCGAGCTCTCACAGCCTCTCCCGCCCTGTCCATGGGACTGTCTGGACAATTCACTGCTCACCAGGCACACACTGAAGACTGCGGTGGAGGGAATAAAGGTGAGATTCTGGTCACCCACATCACTGCTTGGCAGCTGCCATTTCTAAAGGTTGCACTAACAAAACTTGGGAGTGATCTGACTGGTTTAGTTTTGTTATCCTTGACTAACAAAGAAAATAAAATGTACACTGAGCTCTCTCAGAAATGAAGAAAATGTTTGCCTACTCTCTGGCTCAAGACGTCTTGAGTAAATTCCATCCCTTATCAGAGATCCAATGTAAACTGGGTGAGCAAAATGGATTCTATTTCACCGCAATGCTGCTGCAGATTCTATAACAAAGACAAAGACTACCGGCACCATATTGCTTTATTCCCACCCTCAAACAATACAGAGGCGAGAATCTCTGATGCTGAGCCATGCAAGTAATAATGAAGGAAGCGACAAAATACTAACAACACAGACGAGCACTTACAGGCGTCTCCCACTCCACAGCAGCACTTACTAACCAGTGTTTCTGGCCAACTGCTTCTAACAGCAGGGCCTGAGCGAACCCCTGGCCTCATGGAAGGACTGTGTGTATCCCGGGAGCTCAGAGACTGCACGTCTCACGCCACATGCACCAGACTTCTGTAAACCACATCTTAAGATGTGTAACAAGGTGCTGTGCCTGATACTGTGAGTGACCACAACAAAACTAAAGTCCAAGGAGGAGTGCAGCAGAAAAGCAGGCTCCAACGCTTCCTGTAAGGTGCCAGGGAGGCACTGCTGCTGGACCCTTCCTGTACCAATTAAAAAAGTTCTGGTTTACATTACTCAGCAAACTCAACATTCAGAAACTTAACCAGCAGGCTCAGGGTGAAAGTTTAAAAGACAGTTCCCTTCTTTTTTTGGTAAATGTTTTATATAAAACATGAAATCAAGTTGTACTTTATTTAGAAAACAGAGTATTTTTAATAGTAAAAATATATGTTTATATTTCTCTTTTTAAAAAAGACATTTAATAACAATACAAGAAGACTGGATTTAGCCCGCACCCCCATCCTGCCGCCGGCCCCCTGGCACAGACATGTTAAGGCAAAGGCTCCTGGAGAGGCACATCCACCTGGCTGTGGGCTGGGGACTCCAGGTAAACACCCTCCACTCCTGCAGGGTCAGCAGAAAGGCTTCTCTCTCATGTTCACTGAGCCGTCCTGCATCCCGAAATAGACTCTCTCAGCCATGTTGATGAAGAGGCCTGTGTCCACCACACCTGCAGGATAAAGAATGGAAGGAAGAGCTAAGTTCCAGCTTCCCAAGGCAAGAAAAGAATCAGGGGTCACAGGGTCATCAGGAGCAACGGCCATTCGCAACACTGGACAAATTAAGAGAGATTCAGACTCTTTCTACTACTTCTTACAATTCCTTCCTCCCCTGCTACCCTGGCTCCCTTTCTATGTCCATATGTGCCCAGCTTCTTCCTGCCTCAGAGCCTTCGATCATGCTCATCCTATGTCTACACTAGTCACCTTTGAGAGCTTTGGAAGCTGGCTCTTCTCTGTCCTCCAGATGTCACAAGTTATTTTCCAGTTTAAAGGTCTCCAGTGAATTCTAAGTAACTCCACTCCCAGTTACTCTAAATCACACTGGCAGCCTTAGAGGTATATTTGCAGTGTGTATACCCAACCAAACCCCATCAAACTCTATAAACAACTCTCCAAATAAATAAGAAGACAGACAACCTAGCAGAAAAATGAGCGAAAGACTCGAAGGTACCTCGCGAAAGAGGCTATCCAAAATGGCGAATAAACATGAAAAATGGGGGTCAAACAAGACGAAAAGGAATGTAAATTACAACGACGAGACACCACTACCTGCTCCCCAGGAAGAGTAGGATGAATTCGACAAGGATGAAAAGACATTTCCACATGTAGACAGAGGAAGTAATTGGAAAACCACTTTGGAAAATGTTTGTTGACGTATTTTCTAAAACTGAGCATATTCATATCTAATGATCCAGCAATTCTACTCTAGTTATATAAGCAACTGTTAGGCATACATATGACCATGAAGAGACATGTACAAGAATGTTCACAGCAGTGCTTTCCCTGATAGCTAAAAACTGGAAAAACTCAAATGCCCATCAAGAGCAGAATGAACATACAAACTTTTTTTCACACACAAAAATAGCATGGAATACTATTCAGCAATGAGAATTAATTATATGTGTGAGCAACCTTTACAGAGGACATTTACATCATCCAGTTAATCCTTAAACAACTAGGGGGTTATGGGTGTCGACCTCCCTCACAGCCAAAAACTGAAGTATAACTACAGTTGGCCCTCCACATATGCAGATTCCCAACCATAGACTGACCCTTGGGCAGCATGGGTTTGAACCCCACAGGTCAACTGAAAAATCTGTGTATAAGTGGACTCACGCAGTTCAAATCCTGTGTTGTTCAAGGGTTAACCATATACACACATGCTACAATGAAACAATACTGTTCAACTATCAGGAAAAAAAGTTTGATGGGGAAAGTGGCACCTGCATAAGTTGCTGGTAGATGGGTAAACTAGTACCATCCATGGAGGGCAATTTAACACCAACTAGCAACAAAAGATACTGTACAGAAACACTAGATACCCTTTGATCTGGTAACTCCCTTCTAGCAAAGGACTGAAAACAAATATCTCCTAGTGAAGATCTGGTTAAATAAATTATCCAACAGCTATAAAATGAAATGCCATGGTGATATTATAACACTGGTTTGATGGTGAAAAACTTTAGCTTTTTGTCTGGGAAGCTCGCTATTTCTCCCTCAATTTTAGATGAAAGTCTTGCTGAGTAGAGTAATCTCAGTTGTAGGTCCTTGCTTTTCATCACTTTGAATATTTCTTGCCAATCCCTCCTGGCCTGAAAGTTTCTGTTGAGAAAGCAGCTGAAAGTCTTATGGGAGCTCCCTGGTAGGTAACTAACTGCTTTTCTTTGGCTGCTTTTAAGATTCTCTCTCTGTCTTTAACCTTCACCTCTTTGGGGTCATCTTGTTTGGGAATCTCTGTGCTTCCTGGGCTTGTGTATATATTTCCTACACCAAGTTAGAGAAGTTTTCAGTCATTATTTCTTCAAATAGGTTCTCAATCCCTCGTTCTCTCTCTTCCTCTGGTACCCCTATGATATGGATGTTGTTACACTTGATGCTGTCCCAGAGATCCCTTAAATTATCTTTTTTTTTTATATTCTTTTTTTTTTGCTTCTCTCAGTGGATGTTTTCTGCTACCTTGTCTTCCAAATCGCTGATTCGATCCTCTGCTTCATCTAATCTGCTGCTGATTCCTTCTAATATATTCATTTCTGTTAATGTATTCATCATTTATGACTGGTTCTTTTTGATGATTCTATGTCATTTTTATGCTTACTATCTATTTAAGTTCTTACTGAGTTCATCCATTCTTCCCCTAAGTTCCTTGACCATCCTTATAACCACTGTTTTGAACTGTGTCTGGTAGCTTACTTGCCTCCATTTCATTTAGTTCTTTTTCTGGGGATTTCTCCTGTTCTTTTATTTGGGGCATATTTCTTTGTCTCCCTATTTTGGCTGTCTCTCTGTATTTGTTTCTGTGTATTGGGTGATCTGCTGTCTTCCAACCTTGGTAAGATGGCCTTATGTAGTTGGTGTCCTGTGGGGCTCACTGGTATAGTCTCCTTGATCACCTGAGCTAGGTGCTCTAGGAATGTCCCTTCTGTGGGTTATATGAGCCCTCCTGTTGTAGTTAAGTTTTGACTGCTGTTGGCTCATCCATGTGTGGGGATGACCCTTGGGCTGGCAGACGGTGTGGATTGACCCTGACCATACTGTATGAACTATTGCGCAAGGACTAACCCCATGAAGCGGAATTCGCCCCAGCAGGGTCTGGTACCTGCAGAGATCTCCCTTTGGGTGTGCCACTTGCGGAGCTAATTAGCTTGTGGTCTGAAGCCTACCACTGGAAGTACTGATTCTGGGGCTTCTTGGGAAGGACCCTGGTGCAGGTCACTGTCGGGCAGTGCCTGTGACCAGCCCTGGGCTGCCTGATTAGAGCTCCAAAGTGATCCACAGTTGGTGGCTGGCTTTGCTGGGCCTCAGTGCATGCAGGAGCAGCCAATCTGTGCCCTGAGGCTGACTACCACCAATACTGAGCCTGAGGCAGGTGAGCAAAAGACCCAAGGCACCCAAGACCTGGCTCCGTCTACTGGATGCCTATTAGACTCAGCCACTGAAAGAGCCTCCTTCAGTATGTGAGTTCTAAGTGAGTCACCAGGTAGGAGCAATAGATGTTCTCCAGATTTATACAAGTTCTATCTCCATGTCAGTGCTGAGATTGAGGCCACTCAGCAAAAGTGTCAGGGTATCTAAGTCTAGGTGCCCACAGACCTTTGTAGTGGGGCAGTGTCTCCAGGAGTCATCATGGTGAGGCCAGCAGTCATCAGGCTAAAACAGATTAAGATTTTATTGTGTGGAGGGAAGGCTCTGCATAGGAACAGTGACACTGGTTGGGGTGGGCAGGGAATAATGGCCTTCGTCCGAAAGCCACACAGCTCAGTCTCTTCTTATGTGTCTCTGACACCCCTTTGTCTTCCTGGAACTCCTACAGAGTCCCTCAAGAAAGACTGCAGTGGGGGCCCAGGCTGGCTGCAGCCAGCAGGTGCAAGTTTGGCAGGGTGAGGCCACAGAGAGTCCGGAGGGTGGGGCTGGTCATGCAGTTATGGCTGGTCATGCAGTTATTTTAAAAAGAACAAGGAAGCTCTTTTGTTGACTATTATGTATTAATCTCCAAGACAGGAAAACCTAGGAAGCAAAACCTGTACCTGATGTGCTTCCACTTGTTTAAAAAGGGGTGAGGCTGCAGAGGGTTGATTTGTTTACCAGAGAATGGCTCAAGGAGGACGCAATTTTGGTAACCACAGGCTGCCTCCAGACAGGGAAAGTTGGAGGAGTAGAAGGAAGAGATTTTCACTGTTTACTCGTGTAATGTTAAACTATTTAAATTCAAAAGAATAAATATAATTAAAACTTCTAAAGACACCCCCAATAAGTAAACTCACCTATCTTCAATGAAAAGCCACTAGGTAGAGAAAAAACCTGCTGAAACACAGAAGTCCCTGGCACTGATCTGTGTGAACATGACTGGAGCCTCCCCAAAATAAGCTAAGTGGCCACTCAAGACCATCCTTTTCAAATTTCTGTAATACAAGGTGACGGCTTCCACCTGATCCAAGAGAAAGTCAAACCAGGTTNAATTTCTGTAATACAAGGTGACAGCTTCCACCTGATCCAAGAGAAAGTCAAACCAGGTTCAGAAAATGTTTCAAAAAAAGAGCAGAGATGAATGGCAGCAGTCTAAGGTCTGACCTGAGAGCAACCTCTCCTCAGGTTACTGAGATAGAGGGAATGACTGACACCCCCCCCCCAATAGTGGGAAGGGCAGAGGTGGCTCAGTGTGGACATGGAGAAAGAACCCCAGTAGCTTTGGACCTTCTCTAGAGCCTATCTGCTCTGGGTGTGACCCAATGGAACATCCAAGGGGATGCACACAGCTCACTCTCTAAATGACCTCGAAAATGCACATGGGACAAGGCAGGGAACAGGGACAGAAAGGGAAACTTGCCCTGCTTCACCTCCCTTGAACTTGGTCCAGCACCGACTATCACAATAAGCCAAATTGGGAAGAGAAAAAAAAACAAACCACACAGATGATCCTGGTCGGACTGTACTAAATGGTTTCATATCTAGCCTCTCTTTTTTCATTTTCCTCACTTTAAGTTCTTACAACTCTAACCATCTCTAGGATGTAACTTGTACTTACTGAGGTGGAGCAAAGTTTCTCACAAAGGACATCTCAACGTCTCAATAAGCCAAGAAAGGTCTGAGCAGGAGCAACAGAGCTGCCATGGGCACTGCAAGAACCCTCCTGCAGAGGAGCATGCTGATACTGGTGAGCCATTTCCTACCAGCGCCCTGGGTTTCTCTGTATTATCATTAAGGCAAATCCTCCCATTTTACTAACAGTGAGCGCGATGTCTTCTCTTCCTCCTGCCTTCTTGGCTCTTTAGTTCTTCCACTAAAAACACAACACTAAGTGAGAGAGTAAGCATAATTCAACGCTTTTTTTTTTTTTTTTTTTAAGAAATCTGCTTAAAATAGTCAATGGAAAACTAAAATAGCAAACTAAAGGGTGGAAGAATTAGCTCTTTATTACATGGCATATATTCACACCATTTTCAATCCCAAATACCATGGATAACTTAGAATCTAGCATTAATTCATGGTGAAGATAGTATGCTTTCTTCCTAGGGATGTACTCATTCAACAACCACCTTATGCGCTGAGCACCATTTTAACTCACTTAGTCCTCCCAACGATCCTATGAGGTAGGTATTAGAATGATCTTTTTACAGAGAAAGAGACAATAACTAACCACACAGAGGCCACGCTGACTGAGCAAGGCTGGGTCAGGACCTGCACTCAGGCCATCTGCTTGGGGATATGCTCTGAGAGGAGGAGACAGTAATTAACCACACTAAGGCCACGCTGACAGAGCAGGGCCAGGTCAGGACCCACACTCAGGCCGTCTACTCCCGAATCTACTCAGCCACTATCATCTGCTAAATTGACCTCCTCTGCCTCATTAGCCAGTTCTGGGCCTAGAATATTCCATGTCATGGAGTACTGGCAGCTAGAATCTTCCTCTCAACACTCTAAGTAATATTTCTCACCTCTCCCTCCTCCTTCTGATTTCCTTATATGACCCCTAATACCTCCTCCAGCCCACACTCATAACTCACCTCTTCATTGCCCACCCAGCCTTACCCAGGGCCCCAAATCTGAGGCCCTCCTCTGCTCCAAATGTCTGTGTCACACAGCCCCTCTTTGACCTGGCTCTTAAAGACATAAGGACTAAAAGTTCAGGGTCTAGAGGCCACCTGGGGCTCCCATCTTGGTGCTGTGGCCTTTGGGCACATCCTTTAACCTTCCTCAATCTGTGTCCACTCTATAACTATACAAAGTGGGCGCCAAAGGAGACATCCGTAAACAGTGCAGGGTCTAGATTACACTGTGCTGAGGCACAGCTCAAAAACCACCTCTCTTAATGGAACTTCTCCACATTCCCCAAAGGACACAACTTGCGTGCACTCTAGACCCCTGGTATTCCTCCAGCAGAATTTAGCACATGCCATCTTATATGTGGGCATGATTCCTGCACAGCCACAAGCTTCCCCCAGGTTTATACCATGTTCTATAGATGGGAGCATTCCCTGTAACAGGTAGCACAACACCTTTCCTATAGTCTGTATCTATAAATGTGGGTGAATGGAGTCCTTTTCCCTACTGCTTACGCAAAGGTCCTGGGAGGAAAGGCTCTATGCAGAGAGGGTGACACCATCCACATTACCTGGGGTCATTTTGATAGCTGTGTTCACTTCACTCCATTTGTGCACCCGGTCAAACTTCCAGTCCAGGATAAAATTCCCATTATCCGTCACCACAGGACCCTAGGAGATAATATTCCACATTTTCCAAGAATGAAGATACAGGTAGGTAGAGAGGGGCAGAAAGTGGAGGCAATAACCAAAGGCCATTATCCTAATTAATCCACTCCTAGCAGTACTCCCGCCTCATACTTTCCAGAAGGCAGTGCTGTGAGCAGTAATGAGCAAGAGCTCTGGGATCAGCACTTGAGTCTTGATGCCACACAAGTATAGATAGAACAGGCTACCAACATGGCACAATATTCTCAGAGCTCCACATTAAGTACCATCAATAATGTAAAATGAGGCAATGCTACTTCACCTTTCAATCAGGCAGTCCCATCAAAAAGACAGGAAGCAGAGATGGGTTCTGAGGTCAAATCAGGTAGGGGGTAGTTTTAGTTAATTAATCCATAATTCCTCAACAGTTTTGGGCACTAGAAAGTGTTTAGGACCACAAATGCTGACAGGATGCTAGCCAAAGGCAAAGAAACTAGGGTTCCCCTGCAGACTGGAGGGGAGAGATGGGTGCTCAGCTAGGAGGTCCATGAAGGCAGGATGCTGAGGCTCTTGTCTGGAATAACCATGAGAGAGCCTCCAACAATCTCCTCTGGGCCTTTCAGCTGCAAAGGAAGCCAGAGTCAGAGCTCTGTACAACCACTATGATTAGGATAATGATTTTAAAGTCACAAAAACACCAGGAAGAAAACACATAATAAAAATGTAGCAAGGAAGAGTTATAGATAATCTTTCTTTTCTATATCTCACAAACTTTTTATAGTAGTTATATTTGTAACTATAGTTTGTTTTTATTTTTCTTTAAATATGTTTTTATTGATTTCAGAGAGAGGAAGGGAGAGAGAGAAACATCAATAATGAGAGAGTCATTGATCAGCTGCCTCCTGCACACCTCCTACTGGGGATCAAGTCCACAACCCAGGCGTGTGCCCTGACTGGGAATTGAACCATGGGCCTCCTGGTTTATAGCTTGATGCTCAACCACTGAGCCATGCTGGCCAGGCTATAGTTTGTTTATAGATTATTACTTTTGCTTTTTTGTTTTATTTATGGGTAAGAAAAACAAGTTCAATGTAACCCACTTTAGAAGTGAAGAAAAATAATTAAGTATCTAGAAGCTATTCCTGAAGGGTTCACATCCCCCAAGAAATTCTATTTCTTGTCAAATTTAACCACAGAATGAGGAAAGAGGAAAAAATAAAATTATACCACGAAACCTGAAAAACTTTATGCTCCAGAGGCTTCCCAAAGCCCTGGTTTGGCAGATGTTAATCAGGGTGGTGGAGGCTTCAGGTACAAAGGGCCTGGCCAGGCCCAGAGGACCTAATGAAGCAGAAAGAGCCACTGAGAGCCTGTGGGCACTGGAGACCTTTTATATCACAAACGCAGACACGATACTGAGACCCTAGACTGTCCTCCAGAAACCTCCACGGCCACTTACTGCCTTGTTGACGGCCATTCTCAGTTCAACCATGCCCCCGAACTTCTGAGTCACAGCTCGGCTCACTGGGACATACGCCATGGGGATGACCTCGATGGGGATTCCCTTGTGCCACTGATCCCCAAGGTTCTTTGAATCCTTCCTGGAAATAAAGGGTCAAAAACTACAATAAATATAAATAAGCTCAATGGTACAGATAACACTACATTCAGGAACAGGGTTAATTATATAGTGAAAGGACACAGAAGGTAAGCAGGGATAGTATACAGAGGTTTTAAATGCATTTGAAGTAACTATGGCAAAAATGTTAAAATTTGATTATGACTAGCTTTGTGTGACATACAGGTGTTTATTATTTATGTTCTTCCTACAGTTATACTTCACAAGTAAATACTTTAAAAATAAAACATACTCAGCACAAGTGCCTCTACCAGATACCTTGAAGGGGAGCCCGAGAGCCAGGTCAAAGACTGTCCACAGCACAAGTCACACGTGACCCCGAGAGGAAGCAGGCGTGCTGAGTCACTGCCGGGGGGCAGTGTTTGCCCTGCCTCCTCTGGGGCTCCCTGGGAGGATCAAAGGAGTGACACCCGAGGACTTGCTCTGTTGACAAGGGAGACTACTTCTCGTTCCAAAGGCACATAAAGAGCAATGTCTCCCTTCAGCACGAAAGCAAAACAGAAGCCTCCTAGATACTGCCCTAAGTCAGACAGTCCCTCCATGTCTCTGTTCCCTCCTCTACAAAATGCAGGTGGGGCCTGGGGTGTGACTACCTCCTTGGTGGACAGTTCAGAACAAGAAACACTGTACCTGAAGTCAGCAATCACGATGAAGCGACTGGCATAGCCTGCCACTATCTTCTCCTGGGTCAGGCAGCCTCTGGGGATAGGCAGGAGAACGTGAACACGGAGTTAAGACACAAACTTGATCTGGGAACTAGTCAGATACAGAAAACCCAAATCCACTCAATTCTGGCACTTAAAGAGAACCTTCCTTTTACTTCTTTAAGGGACATGACCCAAGTCCATCATGCTGTGCAATGAGTTGAACTGTGCCCCACCCAAATTCTAAGGTCCAAGCTCTAACCCCCAGAGTGATTGTATTTGGAGATAGGGCTTCTGAGGAAGTAATTAGTTATATGAGGTCATAAGGGTGTGGCCCTGGTCTGATAAAAGTGTTTGTGGCCAGACACCAGAGCTCACTTACTCTCTCCCCCAACCATGTGAAGACACAGTGAAAAGGCAGTCACCTTCAATTAAAGACGCTCCAGAACTGCGAGACATTTCTGTTGTTGCAGCTGCCCAGGCTATGGTATTCCGTTATGGCAACAAAGCTGACATTCTGATTCTACTACACAGACTATGGGAACCTTAGCCTGTGTCTCAGACAAACCCAGAAATGGGACAATGGTTCCGTCAGGCCGGGTCTAATGCTATTTAAGATGCGTCTGTGAGAAAGTCCCAAGCTGAGAGAGAAGGCATCTAAGCATGGGGAGGGGCCTATAGCTTGAGAAATAAGGTATGTTTGGAACAACATGGCCTACAAGCTATTTGACAGTGATGAAGTAGAGAGAGCACAAAGAGCTTTTAAACAAAGTTTGTGTCACTTCAGTCTGAACCAGTAGAACAGGAAATTCACCTTCTGTAACTCACCCTTCCTACCCCCCAAATCACCACTTAAGAAACACCTAATAGTTTTTTTGTTTTCTTTTTTGTTTGTTTAAATATTACAGAAGTCCCTTTTTCTCCCCAATGACCCATTCCACCCCAGCCCACCCCCCTCCCCAGTTCCTCTCCACACCATCGTCCATGTCCTTGGGTTTTGCATATATGTGGATCAGTTCTTTGGTTAATCTCTCCCCCTCCACTC